ATAAATTTTACATATGAAAAGAAACATTTTCTTAATGAGTGCAAGTTTGTAATGTAGCTGTGTTTTAATAATGGCCTAGAAAATTAAAAAACAAACGCACACATGCCTGTTTCAGAGAGGGACCCTGTGCCATGACAGCCTCGGCCTGTCCCCTTGCGGGCGGCGTGCCTCTTGGGAGAAGCACACACTGGTCTTGCCTGGAAGGGTTCGGGCTCCCTCTGAGGTCAGCCTGCAGGGGCAGACCTGAAGCACACACTGGTCTTGCCTGGAAGGGTTCAGGCTCCCTCCGAGGTCTGCCTGCAGGGGTGGACCCGCAACCCATCCCGCTGCCCAGGACTCTCCCCCTGTCCCCACGGCCTCCCACCCACTCGGGGGCCTCCCTTGCTTGCTGGGTCCCCTTGCATGCAGCCCCAGTACTTTCTGCAACGTTGATTCTTCATTCTCTTGCTTGACCGATGCTAGTCCAACCCACTCCTGCCCTGGAAGCCCTGCTTGGGGCTCAGGGCTCAGGGCTCAGGGCTCAGGTCGCAGTGCTGAACCAGACCCTCTGCCCCTGCCTCAGGAGCTGACTGTGGTGGTGGAGGGGGCCACTAAAGGGAAGAAAGAGGGGTCAGACGGTGGCAATGCTGTGAGGCTGCCCCGTGGGGAAGGTCCCAAGCGATATCAGAGACTGCCCTGAATGCAGCGGGAGCCCGCGCCCAGGGCTGGCTGAGGCCGGGGGTGCACAGTTCTGCAAAAACCCTATGGGGGGTGCTGTCTCTCTGTATTTTTCTCTTGTTTACGGAAGAGATAAATAAATAAATAAACTTTTAAAGAACAAACGAATTAACACCCAATTGTGCATTTTGATAGGGCCTCTAGAGAGCAGGCCGAGACCCACTACGTGTGGGGTGAGCCCAGGGCACACCTGCACCCTGTCCTGACCTGATTGGCTGAAGCCTGGGCGGGGAAGCCACCTGGAGGCACCTGCTCACTGTGCTCCTGCAGCAACCCGGCGTGGAAGGGGCCAAGGGGCCACCATCTCTGACGCAGCTGGCTCTAATAGGAGCCCAAGCCACCTGGAGGCACCTGCTCACTGTGCTCCCGCAGCAGCCCGGTGTGGAAGGGGCCAAGGGGCCACCGTCTCTGACGCAGCTGGCTCTAATAGGAGCCCGCCCGAGGCCCGTGTGACCCAGACCCCATGCCCTTCCCTGAGCCATTTTCCCCTGAGCACACAGATTGGATCTGGAAGTCTCTGTGTGCGCAGGGACTCTGAAGCCCTGCTCCTGCCGGGGGCAGTGGAGATAGGGAGGCATCACCTCCTGAGCTCCTTCAAGGTTGGCCTGCCTTTGGGTCCCCAGAGTCTCAGGCACAGCCTCTGACAAGTGGCCTCATTGCCATGACAACCCTGGACCGCAGTGTAGCCGTTTGCTGCGCTGTGCCACACACAGTAGGTGCCCAATGACGCACCTCAGCAATGAAAGGCTCTAACCTCGGTATCAGCTCTTGGCAAAAGCCCAGTACCTGGCCCCCATCTCAGCATGGCCCCAGATAAACCACAGTTCCCGACTCACCTCTGGCCTGAAAACGCCAAATGCTGCAGCTGTAAGACCACCTCCTTGCAGAGAACAGCAGGTGCCCACGCGGCCCGAGAGCACAGGAGGCCCGCCCTGGCTAGGCAGCCCTGGGCGTAGAAGGACTCTGCCGCTGGGTCCCAGCTCCACAGGCCACACCCTCCTGGCCCCCCTCTGCCCCGGTCCCCGCCCG